TAGTACCTTGCCGGAGTTTTTTTTTTCTTTCTTTCTTTCTTTTTTTTCCACACCCTACATGCATCAATTCAGAATAAAAAAAAATCAGGATTTTTTAGCATATCAAAAATATATAAATCAAATACACACCTTCCACAGTTATCTTTTTACTCCATGTTTTCTCTGCTCTGGGCATGGGCTGCAGCTGTCTCACATTGATGACAAGGTCTGTCATCTTGAAGCCAATGGTATAGAAACGGAACATGTCAAGCCATAGCCTACCCACACTCTGAGTATTTTGGCACTGCCACTTATCACCAAGTTTTGATGGACCTGAAATCAAACCAAATAAAACCACATAAAGATGCAAATTAACATTTCATTTACACTGAAATTCCAAACAGAAAAAATCTAGTGGGTGTTTCCATAATAAGCAAAGCCTTAAAGTACACTCACGTAAATAAACATCCCCGTCAGGTTTTGGGTGCAAGCTATGTAAAACTGGCAAGACTGGAGGGTTGTGTTGCTGAAGAAAATGTACAACCATCAATGGGAAAACATGTGGTGGGAGAGTTCCACGTGACTGGTCATCCATCTGGCAGAGCTGTTGGACAGAAATGGATACCATCAAAATAAGCATTTTCTTCAAACTAGGTAGTAAATTTTTTTTTATAAAAAAATGGAAGGTAACAGACCTGTGAAACTAAAGCAAATAGGGGAGAACAAAAAATTAAAAAATCTCCAGAGAAGAACAGAGAAACACATAGTTCAAAAACAGGATAGTAGGTCAACCAATAAGATCTATAACAAGAACTGAAACACTACCTTTGCCCAATATCTGAGCGCAATTCCCAGGGTAAGTACTCTGGGGTCGATCACAGCATAGTCAGCTAAGAGTTGGTTGGTGTGCTTGGGAGAGGTGCTGCCTGCGCCCACCACCATCCTCAAGCCGGTGTTTGCATGGGTGAAGGCCATTGTCGGGAATGATGATGTTAGATCATCTAAAACATCTCTGTGGTAAGGAACACAATTTTAAAAATCAAATAGAAAAAAATGTAGGACTAACAATCTCCCTATCATTTTCTCTCCCATTATTCAACAACAAAAATATTAAAATCACAACTAACATATCTTTTAATACTTACGTGTACAAGTCATTTTTTCGAACCAACTCCCTCACTGCCAATAGGGCAATGGAAGGATTAAGGTTCTCGTCCATTACTACATCTATGTTGATATCACTTGTTTTCATGCAGAACCACTCACACAGATGATCCCACCATCTCTAATCTGCACCCTGTATAAAGCAAGGTATATGTATCAATTATCAAAACATCTAATGACACCATTTTGCTGTACACAGTAGTATTTGTTATATTATACATAATTATAACATTATACATTACTATATACAATACATAAATAACCCATCTCTGCTTTGAATATCAGATATCCTTTTTACTCTTATTTTACTTATCCATGCAATGTCCTAAAAATTGGACAGTAACACTAATGACACCCAAAAGTCACACACAGAAAAATGAGATTCCAGGGGCGAGAAACTCACCTTCCACTTTGGCCGCGAGCAATTTATTAAGTTCCTTCACGACCTCTTTTCTGGTGCGCATCATATCTGGGGTAACTTTCACCTCTTCTACTATCTCCAAGATCAACTTTCCACAGCAGCAACCTGTGCTTCAATTGGAGATGGCACATTCTTCAGAGTAGTCTCCACGTCTTTAGCCTGCAATGGCATAGCATTCACATTATCATAAATGGTTGGCACATGCAAATTAAACACTTTAAATCAAGTGGCCTTTACCCTACAACACTGGTTTTTATCCACTCCAATGCATAGGCCAGATGCCAATAAAATGAGACGATTAACAAAGTGCAGGCTCAAATATATGTGGCATTGATACTTTCCACCTGACATATGGACTATGTATATGGCCAAAACAGGTGTCATTTAGCATAATTGGTTATAATCAGAGAGAAAATATAATTGCTTACAATCAAAATCATTTTTTTCTCATTACAATATACAAAATTTATCTAAAAAATGAAGCATAACAGGACTATTTTGTTCACTCCACTACCACATGTTACCTAAAACTCTATAATAAAATAAAAGTAAATAAGACAAAGTCATTATATATAACAGTAGCTTTCAATTCAAATATTACAGCAGTTCTTTTCAAGTTTTCAATTTATCCAGTCAAAAAATGCATAGATAATAAGTAAACATCAATACTTGTTTAATATTTTTTCTGATGTCATAAAAGGAAGTAATTCCAAGCCTTCATAAAAAGGAAATGATATTATTTCACATCCACCATCTTCACTTTCTCCTTGTAGTATTTGCCGTGATATAACCCGATGGCACTGGGTACAGTTATAGCCGTAACGATTTCTTCTGACCTTAGGGCCAATGATAGCTTTCCAAATTTTCATGCTGGGAGGATATCATGGTGCAGGAGCTTCAGGCTGCAATTCCTGAATGAATTACAGCCCAAGTCTTACATGAAGACTACTGGTCTAACAACCCTCTGATGACACCAGTAATTTTCCAGCAGACTATGTTGCAAAATCCACACACTCCACTTTGCCAGCAATGAGGCTAATCATCCTGCTAATGATTTGTTATGGAAGTTGTAGCTAGTCATTGATGTGATGAACAGACAATTTTCCATCACCTTTGTCCCTTATAAGCTGATATCCATGGATTAAAGCATGTGGATCTTTAGGGGACACATCCAGCTCTGTAATATGTTCCAGTAAATGAGCTAGGCAGGGTTTCAAGGTATATATTAATTCTATTTGGGTGATGGACCATTTTAGCTTTATGAAAATGCTAAACTTGACGTTTGTCTCTAATATAATAATCTTCCATGTACTCCCATGGCTAAACAAGGGGCGTAAAATTGGAGTTTAGGCTCTGATTGGGTTAACCACAGTGTGTGGCTGCTCCAAGAGACCCGCTGTAAAAGGGCAGAAACATAAACATGAAAAAGGGCTCTCTACAGCTGTCAGCAACTAAAAGCAGAATAAAACGTTGGCCCTTTTGATATGATAGGCCTACATTTTATATCCCTATTTTCAGAAACACATAGCTAAATTTTATTGCATAAGCACAATATTGTAGAACTTACCCAATTAACAAATTTTGAAATCATCTGTCTTTCCAAGGCTTGAAACACAGCTATTTTCTTATTAATATATATTTTTTTTATTAATCTTTCTGAGGAATTACTTCAGTCTAGGGCAGTGCTGTCCAAACATTTTCACCTACTGTATCCTTTATTACCTTCTCTACTGTTACGTACCTTGCCCACCATGGCTAAACAAACTGATTTATTTAAAATAATGCAAATAATATACTAATTATGAAAAGACTGCATTGCAGGAGTGTTAGTCAATAAATGATGATCCATAGAACATGTGATATATATTGTGTGTGTGTGTGTGTGTGTGTGTGTGTGTGTGTGTGTGTGTGTGTGTGTGTGTGTGTGTGTGTGTGTGTGTGTGTGTGTGTGTGTTGTTTTTTCCTTGTTTGTTCACGTACCCTTATGATCTATGTTGCGTACCCCCAGGGGTATGCGGACCCCAGTTTGGACAACACTGGTCTAGGGAATACAAAATTAGCACACTGTCCACTCAATAGCATCAAGGTTTCTAAATATAAAACAGCCAGCATTACTATTCAGCAAATAAAATGTAAATTACTAAGGAAAATAAATATCATATCTGACTTATTCCCATCTAACCTGTTCTATATTTTCAAAATCGAAACTATAATTTCTAACCATATTTTTTGACAATAAAAGCCTCACTGAGAAAATGTCATTGTTTTTAGCCATACTTCAATTGTCAATATGAAAATGATTATCATTGTCACTACTAACCTCTTTGAGTTTCCTGTGCCTTGCATCTGCAATATGTCTCCTGCACACAATCAAAGAATCACAGTGGTAATCACATAATCTGCAGAAGTATTTGGCCTTTGGAAATCTGATCGATTTCTGTAGGGGGAAAAAATAAAGTACTATCAGTAACACCAACGGAGTTCATGCTAAGTGATGGGTGGCAACTTGTTAACCCATTGCCGACAGGTAAAAATGTTTGGCAAGTGGACATATGGACAGGCTTGTTGGCACGCATCGGCAGTTTCCCGTTTGCATCCGGCTCGATCGGTATTTTGCGAGCGACATTTAGTACTAAAAGCTTTTATTTTGCTAAAATTTATAAAAAATATTAAAATTTTGAAGGTTTACCTTCACTTTAGGTGCCATTGCCTAAACTCTTTACCATATAAATAAAGCCACTACTATCGGAGAAAATCAACCTCCGTCCGACGAGCCAGTGGCGCAGGAATGGGCATGACATGATGCCCCCCGGTGTTCGGTCCACAACAGCCATGGCATGTACGTACATGCCACCCGGCGGCAACGGGTTAATCGTGTTACCTTATGTACAAAGGCAGATATGGCATTTGGTTGAATTCAGAGTGTGTATACCTCTGCCGAGGCAATAGGGTCACTGATGCAATAAAAATATTCACACGAAGAATTAAAATCACCTTCCCTAAGTGCACTGGTGATGTCTGTAAACATAACCTCCTTGGAGCAGGTAATAAAGCTAATGATGATAATTATAGTTACGCCTATTGCCAAAGTAATAGGTGTAACTGATGCAATCTTTTAAAAAATTCCTGGATCCATATCATGATCCAGACCACCACCAATATAGGTTAGGTTAGTAAAAAATAAAAATCATTTCATAACTTTTTGAGCTAACCTGCCTACAAACTAACCAATCCTACCAAAAACATAACCTCCTTGGTAGAGGTAATCATCATTACTGAAGCAATCAAATATCAATCTCAAACAACATCATCTGCTTTAAAAACTATGCCAAGTTTTCATACTTTCTCTTTAATTTCACAATGACTATTACTATACATATGAGTTTGCCATATCTTCACAGTGCAAAACCAGTACAGGAATTAACCTTTCCTGTCACATAATGCAACAAATAGGCTGAGTTAGCCAGCAAATCCACCGTCTTCTATCTGATGTTGACCTAGTGGCTTGGAAGTCTTGCAGGTCTCAGGGCAAGTGAATAAAAACTAATTTCTTCAGTACCATTCTATATGCACACTAGCCTCATCCTGACTAGCCACTTATTGCCTGCCATTATGCCAGGCAGCTTAAGCTGGGGTTCCACCAGCCTTACCTGACTCTAAGACCTAACAGAAGACTGCAACTATCACTGTTTTGGCCAGGGAAACTATCTTCAGAAATAGATGAGCCAGACTTAGATCATCCTTCACCTATATTCTTTAAATTTTTACAGGCATTTCTGTTGTACAGTTAACCCCTACCATCCAGATGATATTAAAGTCCCATCATGGAAAAATCAGGGTCGAGTGCTGGGTGACATGAACATGTCATCGGACAAAATGGCCTCAGGCTAGGTGAAGCAAACTTGTCATCATGAGTAAAGACCAGGGTGATGGAAAAGACGAGTGCAGAAACCTCCTGAGGCGTGATTTGATTCCTTTAGCACTCAGAAGGGGGCTTTGGTATTATTACTATTGATAAACGAATGTGGAATGTAAGGTGCATTAGCAGTGACTGGAAGATCATCGACTCCAGGAGGATTACCATTTCCATGCTGTGCATTGTATTTCTGGCTGTTGTGACCGCAGCACAGGTTGTAATACTAAAATCTTAAAATTACGAAAAAATAACATATATGACTCAAACTTTTTTTTTTCTTTTTTTACGCCAAGATATTTACTACGTTTCCATGTTTTTCTCGTTATCGCTTGTATTTTTGGTGAATACGATAAATTCCAGTCAAACGATAATTATCGTTTTCGCTGGCAAGTTTCCGTCGTCTTTTTCGTTCAAATGATAAGCTGTAATAGATAATCATTATAGTAATGTAAAGAAAAAGTATTTATAATATAAAACGATTCAAAAAGACAGTCTAAACTGTAAACAATATTTTTAAATTGGCAAAATTCTCTCTTGTATTTCATAAAAACAGATACAAGTTTGTAACTAGCTGCTCGCCTGTTTGTTTACATTCATCCCCGTCAGCTGACTAGATGAGAGTAGCAAGAATATGCCCTTATTTAACCTTATACATTTGTTGTTTTGCATTAAATCGTCTCCACATAGCCAGAATAATGTCCATCATCGCCAGAGCCTGTGCGGGGTTGAACCCATCTTTCTGTGTTCAGAAATTTGGTCGGACTGTTTCCGTGGTTCTCATCGCTAGTGTGAATGCGCGAGCCAAAATGACCACGATTTCCGTGGTGCCAGCGGAAAAGTAATGCGGAAAAAGTGCTAGTGTGACACGGCCTTAGGCAAGGAAAATAAGCTATTACCATTTGGACAAATATGGATAAATATGGACATTGGAAAATGGCAAAAAAACTAAGAAAGTTTATGTAAAATAACTTTGCAGAGGGGAGGCACAGACTCGTCACCACTCATAGGTGTTCGCACACGCCCAGCCTACTCGTCACACACCTGGGATATTGGCTACTTACATAACCTACTGCCCGTAATTTCGGCACTGTGATTTCCATGACACCACCAGATCCAATAATGATCATCATAGAAGTTTATTGAGTATTATCAATTTTCAACTGGTTAGCATTTTAGAGTGAATACAAAGTGAATACAAATTAATTCTCATATGACTAGAGAAACCAAATTACATGATACACTGGTTACTCAACCAAGAAATACCTAAATGTTCACTCAAGTAGTAGAAAGCAATACCAGATAGTGAAACAATACTAATCAACCAGTTGTAAATTAAATCATCCATGACTTGGAAAAAAAAGGAAGAAAGAAAAAGCTTACTTATTTAACACAACAAGAGGACACAAATGATACAGTTCCTACTCTCTCCTGTTTGCCGCTGCTCTGAGAAACAAGGATGAAGATGCCTCCTAAACCTCATACTTATAGATTTTTTCCCGAGATCAATAGCAAATAGAAATATTCACTGGTTCCACAATACATAATATAAGCAACAGGTTAGACTTAAAGATTTCAACATTGTTTAACAGGTAAATATGTGAGTATCTGCATTCTTACACTTATACACATTGTGTTTACTGATTCTCAGGCAAGAAATTTTTCTTGATACTATATATTAGACTACCCTCAGAAAAAGGCTGAGTTTCAAATGCTCCTTTTAATGTGTAACTTTCATGCCTTTGAGGAAAAAGTAAACATTATCAAGAATAAAATAAGTCCAATACACTACCTTTTTCAAGGGGAATAAAAACTGTTCCTGAAGTTCAGCCAACACCTCTGGGCTTGGTCTGTAATCTGGACTCTCCACCTCCTGCATGCCCACCTGGCCTGGCCCTGCATTTCCCATGTGTCTAGGGCCATTCATGCGCATGTCTTTATGGTCCTTGGGCATCCCTCTATGTGGGTACTGGTGGTGGAACTGATGATGGTTTCTTGGGCTACCCCCATATATTCGGTCGTA